ATGTCTGTACATGGTATAGAGGACGTTTTGTGTTTGCTGCATGTTTTATACGGCAAGTTCAATTCGGCAGACATTTGAATGATGTTATTTAATCATTTTAGAAGCAAGATCTCGCTCGTCACCGATAGAAAAAATGTAGATACTGGTTAAAATCAAGTGTGAACCGAGGCACCCCCTGATTTTCAAGATGGCGAGTGACGCTCCTTTACTCTTTTTATATACAGTAAAATATGACATTTTTTAAAACGTGCAAATTTTTATTTTTATTTTAATGAGGGTATTCATGCACACATAGAAAAACACATAATACACAAAATACACCATCCTGTAACCAAGCGCCTATGGTTTCTGACAGCGTCATGATTTGAAGGAGATCTGATGGTCTCAATGGAGAAGGGAGGGGGGCCTTACCAGAATATCAGTATATATATATATATATCATAGTATGTTGCATGGGGATGAAAAAAATGGGAGGGGTACTACACCACAGAAGTTTGCAATTTTGTCAATAAAGTCAAAAGAAACTGTAGTTTATTTGAATGAAATACCTGATTCAAAATTGTTTTTATCCTGCACCCGTAAAAAGATAGCTAATGCACCTCTTGTCAAAGTTGTGTTATGGGTTAGCTGTAGAACTGCTCTCTGAAAAAATATGTTTTGATAGACTGGAGAGCTACAGAGCCAGCCATTGAAAAAACTATAGAATTATTGTGCACAAAAAAGTGTGCTCGAATCGGGATTAATTTTTTCAAATTCTAAGTTGGAAATAAGCTACACTTGAATAAAGTCCTTACTTCTCAATCAATTACTTTCGTAGTTTACAGCTGTACAAAGCGCATTGGACTGAATTATCTTGCAAACCAAAATGACAATATTAATAGGCGAAATTTTCGATGATCTCAATTTAAGAACCAGGAGGGCTTTTAAAAACAATTATAAGGAATGTTTTGTTGTGGAAACACTAGTGAAAGAATGTGTTAAGAACACACGGTTAGTAATACTTTGAGATGACAGTTTTAAAAACATGGACAGATGGGGAAATAAATCGAGAAACAGTGCACTGTTTTGTGCACAATAAATATAGTTTTTTTCAATGGGTGGCACATTAGCTCTCCGGTCTATCAACATATAATTTTTTTTTCGGAGAGCTACAGTTCTGCAGCTAGTTATGGGTCAGACATCTTTTACAAGTATTGAAGTAAAGAAGTAGAAGATACAAGGTAGTATACTGTAAATTCTTAATTAAACACAAGGAATTTATTATTGCGTAATTCCACGAGAAGCATCATTCGTGAAATAAAATTTCTGGCTTTTATTTTGATGGTGCTGAAATCCGTGTATTACTTAATTCTCTTTATCAACCGCCCATTCGCGAATAAATATTCTCGCGATTTGATGTTAAAGAGCCATATCGCGATAATAACTACTCACAAAAATAAGGAATCTACAGTATACATTAATGGTATGTTGCATGGAGAGTGAAGTTATACACAGCAATAAACATGACCAAAAAAGTTATCCGCCAAAAATTTATTTCCTAAATTACCATTACCAATGTTTTCATATCACTTGGAATGGCCACATTCTTAAAAAAAATAATTAAAATTAAGTTTGTCAGGTATCTCAGGGCCATGAGCAGATTCAGGATCTCTGATTGTGAGGATATATTCCTAGACTTTTGTCTTAATTTTTTTTTTAAATTTTCAGTTTGATGTTAGCCATGTGACTGATGAAGTTCAAGGTCGTTGAGAGAGGTAAAGGTACAAGATGAGTACAGACCGAAGTGCCCTGAATCCCGGTCTGAGTATGATGAACTTTGATGGCCTTGACCTTCAGAGTCAACAGGAAAAGGAGCTTCAAAGGGAAAACGAACAGCAACAAAATGAGGTCAGTATCAGAAAGGAATCAAAAGGGTCAGGGGTCATTGGGACTTTTATGTTTTATATGACTGTTTTTAGCTCTACTGTTCAGAGACCAGAAGAGCTTATGTGATAGTAATGCGTCCGGCGTCCGTCCGTCTGTCCGTCTGTCTGTCTGTCTGTAAACAATTTTTCAAAATGCTACTCCTCCTACAGTTTTGGTCTAATTTCAAAATAACTTGGCACACAAGTAGACTACACTAAGACACATAATTCTGTGTATCGGTTTTTGATTTCGATGAACGGTGTTGCCGTGGTTATTTAAAATAGAAATTTCTGTGAAATTCTTTCAAAATGTACTCCTTCTACAGTTTTGGTCTGATTTCAGTATTACATGGCACAAAAGTAGACTATACTAAGATACATAATTCTGTATATCGGTTTTTGATTTCGATGAACGGTGTTGCTGTGGCTACTAAAAGTAGAAATTTCTGGCAAAGTGTAAAATTCTTTCAAAATGCTACTCCTCCTATAGTTTTGGTCTGATTTCAGTATAACTTGGCACACAAGTAGAATACACTAAGATACATAATTCTGTGTATCGTTTTTGATTTCGATGAACGGTGTTGCCATGGTTACTAAAAATAGAAATTTCTGTGAAATTCTTTCAAAATGCTACTCCTCCTACAGTTTTGGTCCGATTTCAGTATAACATGCCACACAAGTAGACTACACTAAGACACATAATTCTGTTTATCAGTTTTTGATTTCGATGAACGGTGTTCTATGGTTACTAAAAATAGAAATTTCTGTGAAATTCTTTTAAAATGCTACTCCTCCTACAGTTTTGGTCTGATTTCAGTATAACATGGCACACAAGTAGACTACACTAAGACACATAATTCTGTTTATCAGTTTTTGATTTTGATGAACGGTGTTGCCGTGGTTACTAAAAATAGACATTTCTGTGAAATTCTTTCAAAATGCTACTCCTCCTACAGTTTTGGTCTGATTTCAGTATAACTTAGCACACAAGTAGACTTCACTAAGATACATAAATCTGTGTATTGGTTTTTGATTTCGATGAACGGTGTGGCCGTGGTTACTAAAAATAGAAATGTCTGTAAAATTGTTTGAAAATGCTACTCCTCCTACAGTTTTGGTCTGATTTCAATATAACTTGGCACACAAGTAGACTACACGAAGAACATAAAGAGACTTTATCAACAATCATTATTCTATTTATTGCTGTTGTAAAGTTTCAAATCCCAGCTGCTGAAGTACTTTTCTCTTCCTTTGGTTTAAGTTCAAACCAGTAGAGCTTCAGTCTCGACAGAGACTTCTGGTTAAAATGATGAATTTCAGTCACACCCCTGACTGTATATTTCAATTTTTTTAAGAAATAAATAACAAGTTTATAAACTTCAATGGGAATTGAAGTGGGTCGGTCACGTGATCAAATCCTGTGAAGGCCTGTTTGACTGGCTTCTTTATTCCCTCATCTTCTTAATGTCATCTTCTCTGAGATGGCCCAATCACTGATTGATTATTGATGGAGGTTGTCACCATGACAACATGATGCTAATTAATTGTTTCAATCAAAATACTAGCTCCTAATCCTTTTTCTAGAGTCTCTAAGAGATTGAAAATGATGCTCCTGGCATTGAAAGCTGCAGTCTAATGAAAACAGTTGATGATTGTTGAAATCAGAATTCATCCTAATCTAGAAAAGTGTATTAATGAAAGTTCGATTGATGATGTGATTGAAACAGTAAGGCATTCATAGGGCTATTTTCAAAAGTAAAAGTCTGTTTTGAACTCTACAGAATATAAACTCTCTCTCTCTCTTTCTCTCTCTCTCTCTCTGCTTTTTACGTAAAAAATATGCAATGGAATATATTACTTTCCCTTCACCCAGACAGAATAATTCAGGATAAAACTTTTAATTGAACTATACTTTATGTATGCCATGGGATTTATTCAACAAAGTTCTGTTGTTTGATGATTGCCATGGAATTCCGTGATGTTCAGTTTGGTACTGGAAAAGGAAACTTTTACCTTGACCCATTTACTTTAAGTACTCTGTTAAATGACCAAAATAAGAGGTCAAATTTGTGTCCATGTCAAGGTTACTTTCAGGTCAAAGTTCACCCTGCTGTGTATGATGATATAAGAGATTTGTATGCAATCTTGTCACAGGTAGTGAATGTGTCAGAATTACACACAATATTGTTTAGTTTCTTACTGATAATTTCCTTTTTTAAAGTTATAGTTAATACAATCGGCATATTTTTTTTATAATGTTAATTTTAACATGGACAGAAAGTAGATTTTTCTGTAAATTAAACGATATGTTTTGATTTATACATTTACAGCTGAATGCTTTGCTGAAGGATGCATTTGATGATTTAATTGATGATAATACATGTAATATCTAATGTTTATACATTTACAGCTGAAAGTCCTGCTGAAGGATGCATTTGTTGATTTAATTGATGAGGATGATGAGTTTTCTGTGACGTCAGATGAGGGCGGAGACTCACTGAATCACAGCCTCCACTTCAGATCTAAGGAGGATTCGTAAGGCTTTAGTACATTTAATATGCTTTCTTTTGTTGTAAAATTTGTCAATCAAATATTTAAAAATAAACATTGTGGATTAATTTCTTTTCAAACATCTTTATAAATGAGATTAGAAATTGAAGTAGCAAGACCTTATGTTTATCTTATAAAATGCTTGATGCGACCCATTTGACCTAATTCTGACTTTATCTTTACAGAGAACCCATTGTGGAGGAGGATGAAGAGCCCTCTGCCATGTTGTTTCCCAGGGAAGGATGGAACAGGAGAACGTTCCCCCTCCCCACCTCCACCCCCTTGGGGGGGCTCCCATTATTTTGTCAACAGTTTTGAGAAGATCCAATGAGGGCTTGTTAGAGAGTGATGGTTACCATAGTAACAGTGAACAAAGCAGCACCAAATCATCCAATCACCATCATCGACCTCAACGACATCATCACCATCAGTTTCACCAGGTTCCTGATTGGTCCAATCAAAATGTCTTCTCACATCAGGGTCAGCCAAATGTTTATGACCCCTCTCACCATGGTAACACATACACATCATGTGACTTCAGAGGACAATTTTAGGTATGGGGAAATTCCCGAGAGACAGGAAGCAGAGGGCGGGGCAGACGAACATTCAGATGTTGGGGGTGTACCAGGGCATTACCATTATCATCATCTTCATCACTACATTGGCTATTACAGGTAAATATTTAGGTTTTATAAGTTCTTTTGCATTGCAATCAAGTTATAATTAGTAATGCAACAGAGTAAATTGTCAAATAGTTTACCGTAAAACCTGTCTAATACGACATGCAATGGGAGACAAATTTTATGTCAGGATAGTCAGGGTGTTGGATTATACAGTGACATGGAAAAATAACGAAATGAAAGTGAAAAGAAAGGTCTAAAGTCACAGTAAAACAGATGCAAATATGATTTGTTAATGAAATTTCTTCTATTTGGATTTTTATTACAGTGACAGACAGGATGAAGATGAACATCCAAGGGCAGACAACCCATACAAGCCATACTCAGACACACCCCATTCTCAAGGATACCAACACACTCTACAGTCAGACCAAGGTTATGTCACAAATTCTACCTCAGTTTCACATGGGCATCCTGTTCATGATACCCCAGTCTCAACAGGGCATCCTGTTCATTCTTCACAAGAATATCCTGTTCATGATAATGCTCCAGATAAGGATTTCAAAGGAGAATACAAGGTTACTTACAAACGTAGAGAAGACCATGAAGAAAATGAAAGTGAAGAGGAAGTGCCAGAGGTCAAAGAGAAAAGACCAAAATTAGAAGAGGTTCAAGAAAATACTGGACCAGGAACATTTAATGCAAAATTTCACTCTCATGGGAATATTTTCCTTGATGTTTAAAATCAAGATAGAAATGGTACACTTTAAATCAAAAATGCTGAATTCATTTCACTCTCATGGGAATATTTTCCTTGATGTTTAAATCAAGGTAGAAATGGAACACTTTAAATCCATAAATAAGAAAGGGATAAGATAAGTTCAACAGTAATTTTCCATATTAAAGTTTTTATTTGTACATTTTCCAGCTGGTGCTTTTGACAACAGACAGTTTGCTCAGCTTCAGATCCTGTACAAAGCCCGAGGCAGCTAACTCGAGGAGATCACACGAGACGTTGAACAGTACAAGCAGGAGACAAGCAGGGAGATCAGGATATACAAACATCAAATTTCACTGACCAAGGGTAATTGTATCACATCTCAATGGCTTGTATTAACCAGTATTGACTCTATCTGTGCTTTAGAATCACATATTTTCGAGGGGTCAAATTTTTGTGGTTTGAGGAAAATATATTGGTTCATTGGGATTTGATTTCGTGGTTGAAGAACTGTTCGGTAGAAATATATGTGAAAAATAGCATTTGGTGGTGGATATAAATTCATGGAATTCCTCATACCTTGAAAACCTCGAAAATAAAACCACGGTGAAAATTGATTTTACATGTACAGTATCTAACGGGCTGAAGGCATTGATAAAATTTATTGAATTTTTTCTCACTCTGTTTAATTTAATTTTTTTAAAATCCATACAATCAAACCTCTTTATCGCATTTTCAGTGAAAACAAGAAAAAACGTTGGTATATCCATGGATTTGAAATTATATCATGGGTTAAATACTTGAAGAAATAGGTGGTTGACACTACCAAATCACCTTGAACGTGTTGAAATATCCATGGTATTGAAGACTGAAATGTTTGCTGGAGATACATAAGTTCAGTTACCTTGTATAATAATTACCTTTAGCTCATAATACCAAAATATTTAAAAGAAAAATTATTGATTTTTCATCTTAATATTATTTTTTTTTCATTCATTGCAAGGCCGTAACTAGGCTCAAATTTTTACTGAGGCAAGGGTGCTGGGCATTCCTAGTCCTAGAAAGGGCAAGGGTAGTACCTAATGGCCAGTGATGGGGGTTTCCAGGGAGAGACTAAGGAGCTGATCCTTACATTACAGGTTCAAATCCCACTGCGGGATGTAGAGACAGGTCGCTTCGGATGAGACCGTAAAGATCGAGGTCCTATGTCACAGATAGTGTTGGCACAAAAAAGATCTCTCACTTTCCAATCATTTTCAGTGACCCTGAAAGCCCAGTACAGATTTAAAACTTGCAGTCTCCATCGGGAAGTAGTGGTTTCTCAATATGAATGAGAAATTCTTACAGGGGATGTTAAACAATCAAACAATTTGCAAAACAAACATTTTGAATTTTATTCTACATTCGTTCTAAATATAAATGAGGCACCCGGTGAGATGAACGAATTACAGAAATTGAAACAAAAGTTGATAATATTACATGTAATTTAGAACGAAGACACACATAATTCATAAGTTCAATGTAAAACGTTTTTCACTATTGAAAATTCTCAAAAATTTAGTGAGGCATTTGCCTCACTTGCCTCAATGGTAGTTACGGCCTTGCATTTTATACAACAAAGTCCCTCAAGATAAATATGTATTCATGACAAAAATGAATTTGCAAGAGAGGTAACTCTGTATAGAAGCAAATGAGATGATTAAACACACACTCAATACAGTACATGAAGTACTATAATTAACTATCTGATTATAATGCCCAAAAAAATAATAGCCAACAAAAATGAACATTAAAAAATACAAAATTTAAAATCAAAACAACACCACCATTTTGTTCCCTGAAGCAGTGACATATTTTTATATGTTGAAAATCACAAGCTGAAAAGACATGAAAACTGCATGCACAGTCCAGTATCACACAAACTGTAATAATTTATGAATTAATATGACCTTTGTTACGGACCCTTAACCATGCTACTACATATTAACTTCATTTACTTGAAATGTGTTGTTTGGTAGGCTCATTGAATGGTACGCTTTGTGAATAGAACTGTCAACAGTTCATTTTATGAACGATACAGTACATTGGTGAATGGTACATTTCATTTCTTGCACGGTACATTTTGTTTTGTGAACAGTAAAATACTCTTCTTGCATGGAACAGTTCGGTTTGTTTCTGAGGTGCAGTAGCACAGTTTAGGGTCTGTAAAAATCAATGGTCAATCTTGCATATGCATATTTAACTCAATAAGTGTTTCAGGATGAATGACACTTGTATGAAAGTTATCAATTAAGTGTCTCTTATCCCAGGTGAGAAGGAGGGTACATCCACCAGTCTCAAACAATGCCAGGATCTTCTGATGGAGGCAAAGACAGAGAACGCCCAGCTGAAGGGGAAACTCCAGGCCACAGAAAGTCAGGTGGAGGCCCTTCAAAGGGGGAAAGAGGAGGTAGGTAGTGAAGGAATGGTGAAACCTTGGTTGCTTTTCTACTTGGTTAACAGCAGTTGTCAATATTTGGTCTTCTTATTGCCCATTTTCTCTCCCCACTTTTTCATATTTCATTCTGTAGCATTTTGAAATATTTTCTGCAGCATAACTGTGGTACATTCTAATAATAAACATGTATTATAATCACATTTAACAATTTTTGTTAATTGATAATGAATTAAATCAAGGTGTATTTTAACATACACATTGGAGGTACTTTTAGCTCTTAGAATAGCTGAATACTAGTAATGACTCTCTAACATGTTTTTCCATACTTGACTTTTTTTCACCACATAAAACTGTGCACTTTTAACATGTTCAAAGGAAACATGATGACACACTCTCTTGAATGTAATCTTTGTTACTGTTCATCACTCTAGATATTTGATAATTTGAACTTTTCCTGAATCTCTGTCTCCAATCACAAGCTTGTGCTCAGTATCAATGCTGAGGCCTCCATTACATGGATGTTCTATATAACGGACAAAGTTACCATCACAATCTATGATATGGACAATGTTGTTTGAATTGTCATCTATCAGTATTTGAGTATTGACATCAGTAGCAATGTTAAGTGGGATAAAGTCTCTGTACTTTGTTTGTTTGGAGAGGTTGCCTTTATACTTGAATCGTAGTCCCCCAGAAGAATCAACTGCAACAACTGTCTTATCAGAATTGTCAGCAACACAGATGTCACCATTACCATTCTCTGTAAGGAGAAGCACAGCTGTACTACCTGTAGAAAACAGAGGTTGTCCCTGACTGTCATACTGGATCTTCAGTTTCTCTATTGTACCGAAGTATCTCACCACTCTGCTCTTTATTTTATTTGTAGATCGCATACTCACAAGTAGATCTCCATTCTCTATGTAATGAAGACCTACAGGAAACCAGTTGGGTGTGCTTAATAATACATTTACTGCATTCCTAGTATAAATATAAATGTCTGTATTTTGTTTATGAGCATTAGTTAAGGAAAACACTGGCTCCAGCTGTGAATTAATGGTTAGTACTTTCACATTATTCTTTGTATGAATTTTTTTTATAATGGATCCAGTCCTGTTTATTTCTGCTGTCCATCCCTAGTCTGAAGAAAACCAAACATTTCTGCAATTTGGTTTTCTTTAATATTACCTGGGAGTAACTTTGGACAAGAAAAACTTGGTAATTCTGGGCCTTTTCGGAAATCCTCATTTCTTGATTGATAATTAAGTATGGATGTGGCATCATTTCCTTTAAGAATATCTTTATTTTCTTTAACAATTTGATTGACTTCTTTCTCAGCTGTTTCTACTAAAGACCGGCTTTCTTTGTTCTTTCTTATATATTCTTTCTTTTGATTGCTTACTTCTTCTGTGAGCTGAGTGCTTTTTCTATGTACAGCTTGGCAGATTTTATCTTCTTGTTCTTTTATGGCGGAGAGAACTTTGTCAAACTCAGCAGTTGTACTTTGGTTTATGTTTCTGTATTTTGCAACAATTGTATTTTCCAGTTCTTCTGTGTCAGAAATAATTTTTTGTTCATGTTCTTGAAGAATTTCATTGATATTGGTAAACTCATGCTTCTTATGTGAACCCATTAGGCACTGAAGACATATTGGTATTCTACAGTCTTTGCAATACGTCTCACATTGGTATTTTTCGTGAGCAAGACATGATGGAAGAATAACGGTGTGTTCTTTTCTAAAAGTGTACTCCACAACTTCATGTCTTCTTGATTTGTCAGCCATATGTTTTGGTATGCATGAGAGGCAAAGGTCCACATGACAAAGATTACAGTGATGTTCCACGGGATTGGAACACACTTGACAGCAAATTACATCCTGTCCTTGGGCAGTAGCCATATCTTTTGTGATCTGGGATTAGAATAAAATCATAATAACTTGGTTGAAGTACACAGCAATGATGCAATCATTGACATTCATAGAATTTTTAATTGTCATACTGATGCATATGCATACAACATAGACACTGTAAATTTTAATGTTGAACCGTAAGCAAGTCAATCATACAAACTCACAAATGAAAAAAAAAATTATAATACATTGTACTAATAAATTAAACTAGTGCTAATTGTAACGGGGACCGTTACAGATGTTCCCCAAACGCTCCCCAACTCCCTTTTGGTGCCATATCCCCTGTAAGCTTCATTAAATAAGACAAACTCTATACATTTGAGACTTTAACAACGTTTACCCAGAAGTGTACCAACTTCATTCAAATTTTAGCATTGCACGCGTGCGCGTGTGAATGCATGTGCGTAATGACCATATCATATTGTCTTCAGAATCTATATATTTTAATATACTAAATATTAAAGTATTTAATCCAAAAGTATTAAAAAATACGCTCATTCAAGTGTATTTCTTATTTTACTCATTTCACGTGCACGCACGTGCATACATGAGCATGGTGACCATACCCTCTTGTAGAAGTCCATTACTTCTATCTATGTTCTAAATCCTACCCCGTTTGGTTGAAAACCAAGGGAGTTATAGCTGTTTAAAGTTTCAGCCAATCAGATTGCAGCAAATGCACACGCACGTGTATGCATGTGCATGGTGACCATACCTTCCTGTAGAGGTCTATAATATCTGTCTATGTTCCAAATCCCATCCTGTTTGGTTGAAAATCAAGGGAGTTATAGCTATTTAAAGTTTAAGCCAATCAGATTGCAGCGCACGTGCATGCACGTGTTTTCATGATAATTGCTATATATCATGTTGTAGGATATCTTAATGTATGGCTATGTTCAAATTTTCAAGGGATTTCGTCAAAAAACAAGAAAGATAGAGAAAATTTAGTTTCAGCCAATCAGAGGGAAGTGCACGTGCATGCGCGTGAGATCTTGCAATTTTGACCATGTCGTATTGTCTATGCTACTAATATATCCTTATATTATGAGTTTCAAAGCATTTCATCAAAAATGTAAAAAGTTACGCCTATATCAATTAAATCGGTCATTTCACATGTTGCACGTGCACGCTCTTGCAAGCACGTGCGCGCAAAATGACCTTCGTTCCGCAAATCTACATAACATGCCTACTAACCCTAAAAAGGTTTTACCTAAGTCAGATGTGTAGTTTACAAGATCACTCCCGGACAAATAAGTACCCAGGAAGAAGAAAAATAATAATAATAATAAGAAACAGAGTAAAAACAATATGTTCCCCAACTTCGTTTGGGGAACATAACTAGTGCTAATTGTAACGGGGACCGTTACAGATGTTCCCCAAACGCTCCCCAACTCCCTTTCATAGTCATATTCCCTGTAAGCGTAATTAAATAAGATAAATTCTATGCATTTGAGACTTCAAGAACGTTTACCCAGAAGTGTACCATGTTCATTCAAATTTTATAATTGCACACTTGCTCATGTGAATGCACGTGCGTAATGAACATATCATATTGTCTACACAATCTAAATATTTTAATATGCTAAATATTAAAGTACTTAATCCAAAAGTATATATAAAAAAAAAAACGCTCATTCAAGTGTATTTTTGATTTTACCCATTTCACATGCACGCACATGCATACATGAGCATGGTGACCATACCTTCTTGTAGAAGTCCATTTCATCTATCTATGTTCTAAATCCCACCCCGTTTGGTTGAAAACCAAGGGAGTTATAGCTGTTTAAAGTTTCAGCCAATCAGATTGCAGCGCACGTACACGTACATGTATGCATGTGCATGGTGACCATACCTACTTGTAGAAGTCCATTATATATATCTATGTTCCAAATCCCATCCTGTTTGGTTGAAAACCAAGGGAGTTATTGCTGTTTAAAGTTTCAGCCAATCAGATTGCAGCGCACGTACACGCACGTGTGTGCCTGTGCATGGTGACCATACCCTCTTGTAGAAGTCCATTACATATATCTATGTTCCAAACCCCATCCTGTTTGGTTGAAAATCTAGGGAGTTATAGCCATTTAAAGTTTCAGCCAATCAGATTGCAGCGCACGTGCATGCACGTGTTTTCATGATAATTGCTATATATCATATTGTAGGATATCCTAATGCATGGCTATGTTCAAAATTTCAAAAGATTTCGTTAAAAAACAAGAAAGATATTGAGACTTTAGTTTCAGCCAATCAGAGCGAAGCGCACGTGCATGCACGTGAGATCTTGCTATTTTGACCATGACATCTTGTGCATACTTCTAATATATCCTTACATTATGAGTTTCAAAACATTTCGTCAAAAAATAGAAAAGTTACGGTTAAATCCATTATATATTGGTCATTTCACGTTTTGCACGTGCGCGCTCTTGCAAGCACGTGCGCGCAAAATGACCTTGATTCCGCAAATCTACATAACATGTCTACTGACCCTAAAAACATTTCACCTAAATTGGATGTGTAGTTTACTAGATCATTCGCGGACAAAATTTTCCCGAGAAGAAAAATAATAATAATAATAATAATAAGAAACAGAGTAAAAACAATATGTTCCCCAACTTCGTTTGGGGAACATAACAAGAGGCCCATGGGCCACATCGCTCACACAAGACGAAAGACCACCTTTAAGCAATTGCTTAATGGTGGCTTAATGGTGACTTAATGGTGCTTAAAGAAGTGAACTCTCCATTAAGCCACCATTAAGCCACCATTAAGCTGCAACTTACACGTACTTAATGTCCAAACTTCATTAAGCTACCATTAAGCCACTTTAAAGGTGAGCTTAGTGGTGACTTAATGGTCAAACCTCATTAAACTTTTACGTTTTACCCATTTTATATCGAATCTTTGATCTAACTTTCAAAGTTATTTCAATGTCATTTTCACAAAATCTATTTTTTTGTGATTTATAATTTTGTCTCGATCGTAATTTTTATGCGCCAGGATCGATAGATCCAGGGCGTATATTGTTTTTGTCCTGTCTGTTTGTCTGTTTGTCTTTCTGTCTGTTGTCAACTTTAACCTTCGCCATAACTTTTGAACAATGAGAGATACAGACTTCATATTTGGTATGCATTCTCCACTAATAAAGTCCTTTCAAATGACATCAAGGTCAATGACCTTGTGACCTTGACTGTGAACTATATGCTAAAAATAGTTTTTTCCACTGTTTGTCATAACTTTTGAACCATAGGAGAAAGGAACTTCATATTTGCTATACTTACTTTATTAATAAAGTCCTTTCAAATGACATCAAAGACAATGACCTTCTGACCTTGACTGTGACCTATATGCTAAAAATAGTTTTTTTCCACTGTTTGTCATAACTTTTGAACCATAGGAGATAGGGACTTCATATTTTATATACTTACTCCATTAATTAAGTACTTTCAAAGGACATTAAAGTCAATGACCTTCTGACCTTGACTGTGACCTATTTGCTAAAATAGTTTTTTTCCACTGTTTGTCATAACTTTTGAACCAAAGGAGATAGGGACTTCATATTTGGTATACTTACTCCATTAATAGAGTCCTTTCAAATGACATCAAGGTCAATGACCTTGTGACCTTGACTGTGACCTATATGCTAAAAATAGCTTTTTACACTTTTTACCATAACTTTTGAACCATAGGAGATAGGAAATTCATATTTGGTATGCATACTCCACCGATTAAGTTCTTTCAAACGACACCAAGGTCAATGACCTTGTTATCTTGTCTGTGACCAATATGCTAAAAATAGAATTTTTGAACTTTGTTGCCGCCGGGCGCATAGTGTTTCACAAACACATCTTGTTTAATAACATTTCTGTCAACATGCAAAATCTCGGGCACTGAGAATAAAGTTAGCTAACAGGGGCTTGCTCCCGGTTTGTAATATTTTATTTTAATCATTTACAGTATCAATTAAAAAGAAATTTAATCTTATTACCGCATATGATTTTTTCTTAAATGAATAATTATTACAGACGTTGTTTTCATTATTTGTGTATATGATTTTTGTTTTCAAAAATAAATAATTATATTATTACACGCCAGGGCCAACCCCCTGTGAAATTATTTTAATTCTCACTACCGAAAATCAATCTGTTCTTAAAATTATCTTTATTTATAAACACCAAATATAATTATATTACTTTAAAAAAAATGGTATTTTTATTTCATGTGATAAAAACAACATATTCTGCTACATAGTTCCCAGGAATATAAAGTCATATTTATTTTTTTTTTTTTGGAGGAGGGGCGGGCTGGGGCCACGGGTATAAAGAAATGTTTAGTTTTTAAAGTTTGACTAAAAAATGTTTCAAAGTTTGGCTTTTACATCATGAATAATTTGAATTAATTCGTTATTGTTTTTTATAATGCAGCGGTAAGTAGAGCTGTCAAAATCTAGTCGGTCTTCAATCATTGTTATTTCAAAATCGATTTTCAGAAGAACAGCCCATCAGATTAAACATGACATCCGACCAGATTTATACACATTGGGAAACGGGGTATGATTAACAGTGTACAGTACCGACTGGTTAAACAATAGACCTTAATTAGGTGTCCACCGTCAACTAACAGGAAACTATACATACACAACGCACACTAACAGATTTTGATGATCAATTATTTTGACAAACTTTAAATTTAATGCAAGAATATAACAAATTAAAAATTATGATTCATTGTAAAATGACAATTATTTTGTTACCCATTATGATACAAAAAGAATTTTAACTGAATATGATATTCGAAAAAAAGTTTTTGTGAACAATAACCAGGCAACTCGTAAACGAGGATTGTCATTAGGCCTAATTCATAGACACAAAATCCGTTAATATCCGCAGAATATTTTATTATTTAAAAAAAATTCATCTGACTTTCCTGATGAATTTAATTTCAATCTTGATTTAATGCTTACACGTATTAATCTTCAAATAACAGAGCGAATT